GATGGATATACCGGGACATACTGGGTGGCATGGTGTACAGAAGATGGGTAAAGTGGAAACGATGGTGGGAAGTAGCGGCTAGATAGTGGGCGATCATGGTAGGCTCGGCCCACCATTGCGACAATGATGGGAAGCAGTAAGCAGATGTTGAATGGGCTTATAAGGGCGGGCAATATATATAGTGTACCAAGCTGGGATCTGTACACTACATGTTCTACCACCATAATTTTCACCAAAGGTGAGGCCTATATCGACCGAACCCGTACAACTTTGCTATCCACACTTCTGGGTTTCAGAATACACAATTTCGACGAGTAAGAATGACAGTACAGCACAACCACAGCATCAATTAACCTAAATGAAATATTTTTATTGTGTACGGTGTACGCACAAAATGCAACAAACATCGATGCAACGCGATTCCAGCACTTCCAGAGAACGTACGTCTCCCCTAACCGACAGCCGCCGGTCACACCCGCCGGCACTTCTCTGGCTCTTATGCGAGAACACAGACTTGGCAATTCGTATGCTTGCTGAACCAATATGACAGCATAATGTTTCGGGGGCACTGCATTCGTTTAGGCCAATCTGTTATGTAGTTGTTGCTAACGGTTGAGCTACAGCCGTGCACTGGCACGACTGCACTCTACGCTGCGCGAAAAGCATTCTAATACTCAATTAGGTGGGCGTATCTGTGGAATGATACCAGAGGAGTGATAAAGCCTGAGCAGATGTCGCCCTTTGGAACGAGCGAGAAAAGAATATTAAACTTGCCAGACCCCACCAGTAAACTGTACCTGCTCCCCTTGGTCCACTTGGTTTTTTTCTTGCAGTTGTGAATTGTTACAAAAACATAGTGCTGGTACCATTATCACAGTGGCAATCGTTACAGGCAGCAGTTGCTTGTGTTTAATCAATGTCCAAATTTTAGTAACACGTGCAGATCTCATCTATGTCGAGTACGCGACAAACAAAACAATTAAGTTGAACCGTCAGTTGATACAACACACAAATTTCGTCATGTTGGTATGGCGCAGTGGTTAGTGCCTTCGAATGAGAATCCGCGGGTTGCACGTTCGAATTGCCGTGACGGACAGCTTTTTTTTCTGTTTTACGGGTGTTTTTTACATAGTTTTTAACACATTTTAAACATTTTTTTTGTGGCAGCTCGTCACGGTGATTCTGACGCCATTTCGCGCTCAAATGTTGCCAGCACTGCAGCATCCACCATATCCCACTACAAACATGGTAGACTTTTTCCAGCATTCACCCACTACATTAATCCACTATATTGGTGGGTTGTGGTTTAAACCATGCCCAGCATTCGTTTTTTTCCCACAGGGCGCAATCACAGTAGAAGCAACGCCGTCTTCTCTACCCGCGCTTCTCTTGTTTTTCCTGGTAGTGACACTTCTAATCATTATATATAAATATATATATATATAAAGGGAAAGAAGTGTATACCTAAGGGCTCGTTTTTCGTGTTTTTGACACAATATTAATGAGATCTAATAGACAATAATGCCAAGGAATGTATAGGGGAAGTTATTAGACCAATTGTAACGTAACTGTGGAGAAAGAAAAGTGGGTGAAAGGATAGCTTGCCGTTCGGTTCCTGCTCACGGCAAGCTATCCTTTCACCCACTTTTTTTTTCTTCACAGTTACGTTACAATTGGTCTAATAACTATCCCTATACATTTCTTGGCATTATTGTCTATTAGATCTCATTAATATTGTGTCAAAAACACAGGAAAATGAGCCCTTAAGTATACACTTCCTTCCCTTATTCATTAACGAGGGTCTCGTACTGCTGGCAGACTTTGTGCCGTTAGGTTTTATAAAAGGAACTATTGGTCAGCTGCCAGCTCGTAATAAGTTTACGTGCTACGTGGCGCCAAACAGGCTCATAAAGAGTGTGCCACATTCGCCGCCATGGCAACAGGTAATGCTGACTGACACTCCCCCGTTTAAATCCACATATAAACCCAATAATGTGGCTGGGGGAATAGCCTCGGTGGTAGCTCAGTAGTAGAGCAGGGAACGCGTTATTCAAAGGTCGCAGGTTCGGTTCCTGCTCACGGCAAGCTATCCTTTCACCCACTTTTCTTTTTTCACAGTTACGTTTATATATATATATATATATATATATCCCAGCTGACGAGCGAGGTAGGTTTGCCCCCCCCCCCCCCCACTCGCAAAAGAGTTGGTACGCCACTGCTACAATTGCCTAGGAATTCAGCGTTCCACATAACCTTGCGCGAGTGTTTCACGTGCTTCAAACCTTTCTTATTGATTTTCTCAGAACTTGTATTTTCGGTATTTTTCCGTACGGGAACAGTCATGAACATTTGGCTAATAAATATTTTTAATTAAACTAAATATGTGGGTGTCCAACAGACCTCAGTACGCAAAATCGTGTCTCAGGATTAATTATGGCTGCCTGTTATACTAAGGTGCCTCTTGTGCTAGAGCATATATTTTGGTTATCTAATCACTATGTTTTCAATATTTGTCAGATCTAATTTGTTTTGATTCACTGCACAGGCTGAAGCTAATTTGTGTCCCTTCACTATATCTGCTTTTCTTAATGAGTATTACTTATTGAGAATAAAACATAAGGTTTTTTAGAGCGTGGGGTCCTCTTTTATTAAAATGCAACTATGAAAAATTTAACAAAAAAGATAGCACTTCATAATGCTCATACGGGCCTAAAAAGATGTGCCTTATAATATAGTCTAGGAAACTCTGGTTCCTAGCACTTTTCAAAAATATCTTTTCAACACTTGGCCTCATACCTAAAACAGGGTGCAATATGTTAGTTCTGAAAAAAAAAAACGGTTCAGGCTGCAACTTTGAAATTAATTCGATGTTTCATAGTCGATCATTTGTGTAATTTATGTCTTAATAGCAGATGCTTGGTTTGCGACCACAGAAGAAAAACAGCTGACACCTCATCCAAATAGACATACAAACAAAACCTGCAATTGTAGTTGGTACTGAAATAGTTGCCTTAGCCACATGCTAAACAACCTGTGGTTACTTAGAAAGAGACGTGATATCCGAAAGCGGTCAGTAGCAAGAAAAGTAACTGCAAAAAAAAAAACGCTTCACAAAATCTTTAATTCACATTACTAAGACCCACATAGTTGGCAAGTAAAAATACTGTATCCACGCGCAAGTTGCAAAAAAGAAAAAAAAACTGCGAAATTCAAATGCACGTCGGTACATTCGGCCGATTTGCATCGTGGAGAGCAGACAATTAGCTGCGAGTGGACATGTAAGCAGGTGTTAGCGCCCCCTGGATCTCTTTTTCCGGCACATCATGAAGCGGCCTAAGAGGTGGCGGCACTGTCTGCACACTTCCCTATTCCAGACACTGTAGCTATGCTTGGCCATCAAAATCATGGCGCGTGCCTCTTCGAGGCCGGCGCGCATGCGCAGACTACCTACACCGAAAAGGCCCACTGACAATTCCTTCTTAATGAAAATGTTATTTGCCTTTAGGGTCTCTTTAAAAAAATGTTTGCTGTAACGCCTTTCAATTAACGGCATTACCAGTGACGCATTGCTTTTCTCCGTAACCTTATATTGTACTCGCTGCCATATCTGAACTTTAACGGGCAATGTACTTACATTACTGTTCTAGGGTGACGTAAGGTATCACGTTACTTTTTTTCCAATGATTCACACAAAGCTCATTCGTCGCATAGGCGCTCACTCGGACGTCCTTTTGTTGACGCGGCAGACTGAGGCCATCATTACCATCCAATGCGCCCATTGGAATCCTATTTAGCATATGTGCAGATGCGTTCATTAAATGGTGAGGCAATTTTACCGATGGCTGCTTCGAAATGCACTCTTTTCTAAATTCCCCAGCATGTTGCAATTATCAGAAAAATGTCCTTGAAATAATCGAACGCTGGTTTTTTTAAAAATTGTTTGCGTCTTTCTATTGGCCACTGCGAGTACTACATGTTTTAATAGTTACTCAATTTTTCCACGAACAAGATTGACCTTCAACACCGTCACATAAGTGCTTGCAATTTTTTCTACAATTACACAGCTTGAAGGGAAAACTACATCTACAGAAGTATTTTCCCCAGAACTAATCGGTTTGAGCACATTTCTTTGTGTATTTTAGCATCTGCCATTAAAAGAACACTGTGACCAGTGAATTTGTTGAGAGTTGCAACGCTCATCTTTTTTAAAAGGAAAGCGTTGGTGATAAGAAATCATGTTGGTGATAAACGTCATAGAGGAAAATGGGTTTACCGTGTGCCACAGACTTAGAAGCCATTCCATGTAATGCTAAAAGCGACCTTATAGGGACACTAAAGAGTAATAATGACTTGAGTTAGATGGATAAACTGCACTTCAAGAACTCTGGGGTCATATGTTTCACTGTCACGAGTTCATCATTAGCGGAGAAAGTTCAGGGTGAACTTCCATTTATAAATTTTGCGCTGCAATCACCACGTGTGACGTGTAAAATCTAAAAATGTATTATGCGTATTTTCACGACATTGGCTTGGTGAAATTTTCTGAAACTTTGTATTCCAGGTCTATGGCACACACAGATGGCAATGTATTTCATTTTTATCGATTAGAAGCTTCGTAAGACCCAGTAGACACCTTCAAAATTTATGATGCCACGGTTTTTGGTGCGGAAATCTCAAGATGGCATTTTCACTAGTATTTTCTTTTCGTGCATTTTCTCACTCGCCAAGCATCATATCATGATAAGAATAGTGTTTTCAGCATTGTGAAATTGTACTTTACTAATACGTGAGAAATTGTTTTGCTCTTCAGTGTCCCGAAGTCCCTATACTTTAGGGCCAAGCTGGGACACTTTCATGCAACTTATTTTGATTAAATCCGTATTTTGTGTGAAGTTGTTGCTTAAGGTAGAATCTATTTGAAATACCAATATCAGCTTTATTAAACTGATAATTGGGATTTTGAATTGTTATTTGGGATTTCTCCAGTGAAACTGCGGAAGTTAGATTTTTGACCACGAAGAAGTTTATTATTATTTTTATTTTCCGTAAATGTAACGGTAACATGTTACCTTTAGTAAGAGGTAACGAAGGATAGTGACACATTCATATCTGTTGTAGTAACGAGTAAAGCATTTAGTTACATTTTTTTTGGCAACACCTACAACACTACCTTAAAACAACCTCTCACTCTGACTTCTATTCAACAAACTGTGCTCTCTTGGCCACACTTCCTCTTGAAAAGCACATAGGTCACTTACAATTGTAGCTTCTGCTTTTAGGGGTGAAGCTCCTAATGGTGTGGGTCCATCCCTTGTATGTATGTACGTGACTGCTTATACTTCCACCTTTGCCAATTGCCCCCTACTTCGTCTTTGCAAGCATCCCACTACGCCTCATCACCGATCCAGCACTTCACCGGCCATGAAGCAAATATTGTTCAGACGTAGCCAACATGAAATGCAAGATGGTCGTGTAGTTGTAATCCAGGTGCACGTTAAAGAACCGTAGATTGCCCCACTGTGCCCATCCCTTGTTTGAACGTGACCGCCTATAGTTCCACTTTTGCAAACTGCCCACTACTTCACCCTTGCAAGCATTCCACTATGCCCCATCACCGATCCACCATTTCGCCGATCATAAAGCCGTTATAATGAAAGGGGAACGGAAGTGACGTATGGCTACCACGTACGAGTAATAAAATTCTTGTATAAATATATACAGTGTTCGTCACGTCTTCGATGAGGTAGTGGGCGATATTAGCGGATGGTTCACGGTTTAGCGATGAAACCATCCAGCACATCGCCTCACTTAGCATCATTAACTCCTTGGATATGCTGTGATTTTTTATGACGGCGGGAAATGTGGACCATGAGGTTGTCCTTTCGTGAAAAGGCTACATTGCAGTGAACACACGAGAAGGGACGCTCTCCTGTGTGAGTGCGGATGTGCAGCTCGAGGCTCTGCTTCAGAGAAAAGGACGCGTTGCAGTGAACACAGGAGAAGGGACGCTCCCCTGTGTGAGTGCGGATGTGCACCACGAGACTCTCTTTCCGCGAGAAGGATGCATTGCATTGACTACAGGAGAAAGGACACTCTCCTGTGTGCTTGCGAACGTGTCTTAAAAGATTCTTTTTCTCCTTAAAGGATGCATTGCAGTCCACGCAGGAGAAGGGGCGCTCGCTTGTATGAGAGCGCATGTGTTGAGCGAGGTCGGATCTAGCCACGAACGATGCATTGCATTGCACACAGGAAAAGCAACGTTCCCCTGTGTGGAAGCGGACGTGTTTCAATAGGCTCTTTTTATGCTTATAGGATGCACCACAGTGGACACAGGAAAACGGACGTTCTTTTGTGTGAAGGCGCATGTGTGCCATGAGGTCGGATTCCATCACAAATGATGCATTGCATTGGATGCAGGAAAACGAACGCTCTTCTTTGTGGTGCATGCGAGTGTGTCGCACAAGGCTCTCTTCCTGCGCGAAGGATGCATCGCAGTGGACACAGGAAAACGGGAGCTCTCCAGTGTGAATCCGCACGTGGACATCGACGGCATCTTTCCGCGAGGAGCAGGATTCATTGTTGTGAACACAGGAAAGGGAACACTCTCCCGTGTGACGGCGCATGTGAGCCACCAGCTTGGAGTCCTGAGTAAATGAACTTTGGCACACGTGAGATTGGAAGGGGCGTTCGCCAATGTGTCTCCGAAGGTGTCTGGTCATGTGTGACTTATTCTGGGTCACATAGGAGCAGTGTACGCATGAATGCAGTTGACGTCGAACAGGCGCCGATGAAGAGGACTGTTCCAGATACGGAAGGTACAAGGATCCTGCAAAAACCACCAAGAGAAAACAAAGGCAATAAAAGTTGCGCCACAAGCTACATGAGAGATATGCACGAGCCCCAATTTCACAGCCCAACCCAGCCAGGACCTGATGATGTATAGAGTATGGGCCACCCAGGCCTGGGCCGTAGTGTCGTACCCAAAGCATTGTCTGGCTTGGTTTGGCCCAACTCTGTCAATAACACAATAAAGTGCATTACATCATAGTTTTTTTAGTGTATACATATATTCAATTCAATATGTATATGCTAAAAAAACATTTATGAAATGTTTCACAGTTCTTTGACTTCTAGTAAATATCTGTACTGTTCCCACAGCCCTCAGTGTTCAAGGACATGAATTTCATTTAATTAATCCATATATGCCCAAACTAAAAAATGACAAAACAAATATTTTTTCTCACCAAACATGAAAAACCCTTCAATAGAAACAACACAAATGAACAAGAACAATTCAGGCACATCATCTGTATGTATAGCTTCATTCAGGCTTTTCACCCGGCCCAAGCCGGGCCCAATATATAAACTAGGAAGCCTGAACCCCGCCTAGGCTAGAGATGAAAAAATGTCGGGATACCCGAAGCCTGTGCACACCTCTACATAGAACTCTACTACCACACAGTGTTGCCAACCGCAGGGTAATTGGCTTACTTGTAGGGTATTTTCAGGAGTTTTCTGCACCATGGGGTAGTAGGCTGGTAATATAAATTTTTTATCAGGCATAGAGTAATTTCCACTTCTCTCTGATTAACATCAGCGAATCAAGCAAACAATCAACATGACTTCCCCGAAAGTGATATTCCTACATACAAACTAAAGCTAAACATTTCTTTGAACAAAACTGTAACTGTTTTCATTCGCATGGCACTAGCGTCCGGTAGGCGTGAAAGTAAATGTTGTCGTCTCTGAAAGATGATTATCAGAGACGACAAAAAAATAAGGTTGCTATCGCCTCCATGGTACTATAGGAGTGGAAAAGTTTTTTTGGTGACTAAAAAGTGTCTCTTTGAAAGTGAATGAAGACTCTCGCTCGACAGAAATCAAGACTATTATTATTCTTATTATTATTATTATTATTGCTATTATTAATCCATAAAGGACTAAAAATACCTGAATCAGTGCTGTTTTTCTATAAAAACCTTATAAATTAATAGCCCCAACTTTTGTGCCTTAGCGCCAGTTGACCTTCGTTTCCCTGTTTTATTTTTTTCCTACCTATGTATAATTTACTGCCACCTTTTAATGTTGACCCTAAAACTCTAGGGTTCATACAGGCCAGTGCCTTAACATGAACCTAGGTGAATGTCCTCACAGTCATTTAAAGGAGCAGTGACATCAACTTCACGCATGTCGTGTTTTTTTGCGTCAACGCGTAGTTATTGATTCCATAGTAACAATTCAGTACTAATTATGCAACAGGGGAACGAATAATCTATGTAATATCAATTAGCAGACGTGCCAACCCAAGAGTTTTAAAGTACTACAGGAGATGACAAAAGTTACTAAAACCAAGTACAAAAATACTAAAATAGTACTTTATCTTTCAAAAACTGACTTAGATGAATGGAATACAAAAGCAACATTTCACAAAAGAGGCACAAAAAGTTTTCAAGTCTCGGAAGTGGAGGGGTAGGCTAGCATAGAGGCCGTGGCAGCCTTGGCCTTCCTCAGAAAGTCCTTGTCAAAAACCTGTTCGTGGCACTTTCCCGAGCGTGACTGGGCACATCTTGCGACAAGCAACTGCTCCACAGTCTTTTTCGACATGGAGGCACGGAACTGGGTGAGCAGCCTTTTTCACTTTGCTAAACACTCTTTCACACTCCGCATTACTATGCAGAAGTGTTAGGACCCTCAACATAAACTTTGAAAGTCTGGCATACTTAAAGCTGCCATCCACTTCTCGTAAACTGGACACTGCCCGCCATTGCTCATCAATCTGCTGCTCCTTAGGTACTTCAGTGGGTAATTATTTCAACTGAAGACGCGTGAAATCTGCCTGAATGTCATCCAGAGCAGAATTCACATCTTGCCCCTCTTGAAGTGGTAGCAGCACTGGGAAGCGGTTGATTAAGTACTTTACGTCAGAAAACCTGGCGTGTTCAATGGACGCAAGCCTTGCTACTTCTGCACTTTTCAGCAGCTCACACTTCAGTGGAAATTTCAGGATAATGTACTCCATTGCTACAATGAAGAACCTTCTTATATGTGTAAAAAACTCTTCCATTGCTTCTTTTTTTTAGACCTTCCAAGGTCTGTGTGGTCCGACTACCAATTACAATATCTTCATTATCTCTTTGCTTTGACTGACGGAAGATTTGTAGTCAATGTCAGCCAACACGTCAGCTTTTTTGATCACTGAAGGTTTTACAAAACGCAACATGATCTCTCTCAGCAAGTTATTAAGCACTTCACGCAGCAAGTGCACTTGAGGGACTCCAGACTGTAGGAACACATTCACCTTTTCAAACTCTGGGATTACAGACAGCAGGAAGTCACAGTATGCTCTATTTGCATCTGATGAAAGAAACATGAATAGCCTTTCTTCTCTATTTAAAACCTTTCTTGGATGGTTTTGGGTTCACTTGGGAACTGTATCCGACAAGGGGACATTTGTGTCCAGTCTTGCTCTTTTGCTGGGATGACTGCTCTCCGCTTCCTTTGCATGCTTCTGAAGGTCAGTGCGAAAGTTACATGGCTTGCTGGGAAACTTGGAAACCTGCCCGGAGGGCCTTACTTCACTATGGAAGAAACTAAGCAGTGGCTGCCACTGGTCAACAAGCCGTTTCAGGCTCCTTCCAAGAGAGAGCCACCTGGTGCTCACGTGCTTTAAAATTTTCTTGGCCTCTACATCGTGGAGACACTGAAAAGCTTTCAGCTTTTCCTTCGTTTTTGAGCTTTTCTCAAGGTAGTAGAAAATGTCGACCAGTACCTCATCCACATTCAGTGGAAGGCATGCTGAGCCTTTCTGTGCCGCCTGATTGATCAAATGGCAACAGCAGCCAATGATGGCAATGTTCTCATGGCTTTCTTTCAGCACAGCAGTCACTCCGTTTTTCAATCCAATCGTGACTGGCGCGTTATCACACGCTATGCCGATGTAGTTCTGGAGCGGTATCTTTTTGCTCGTTAGCGTGTCCACAACAAGCGCACCGATTTTACGTCCCGTGGAGTTACCTTCAAGGGCAGGCATCGCGAGCAAGGCAGTGCGAACAGTACTATCACAGAACATCACCACTATTGGGTACAGTTATGCATCATTGCCGGCATCATTGCTCCTGTCTGTGGTGACCGAGAACGTAGCGTACTGCAAGTGACATCACTTCGTCGATAGCATTGTTGGCCATTTCCTTCACAATAGCCGTAGTCTTCGTACGGGCGCAGGCGTAGTTCTTAGCTTCCTTCGAGTCCGGAAACATTTTTCGAAAGAGGTCTCCAGCGTGATCAGCAGCCGTGAACGGCACGTTGTTTTCAATCAGGAACGCAGTAAAAAGGCACTCTACTCGAGTTGTAGTATCGGGATCCGCTTTGCTGAAGTACCCTCCAAGTTTCCCGTTAGAGTCCACAAGTATCGCCGAGTCTTTGTGTTTCTTCGTATTCACATGTAGTAGAATAACTTGGCTACCAGCGTGCGAAATGTTCACATCACAGCAGCACAACCTACAAAATGCATACCGCTCACCTTTACGTGACCTCTTAATAAATGGAAAGTCAGTCGAATAGCTGGGAATAAAAACTTGAAAGTATTTCTTCTCAGACATCTCGTGAGCTGCTAGGACTGAACCACACGCTACCACTCCGCAAAAAACATGTGCAAGGAACCTCCTGCAGCGCACATGGTAACAAAAAAAGTCGAGCACATCTCCACCACCCCCGAAGTTAATGGCTTTTGGCTTTGGCTTTGACTCTGGATATAAGCCAATACAGTGTTGCCTGCATAACCCCGCGAAAAAAAAGCCCAGATTTAGCTGGTGCAGTTGTCTGTCTGAAACAGCGCGTTCAGTTTGCGAGCTGTTCGACCCGAAACATGAAAAATCGTAAAAATATAGTTGTCATTACGATACTCGTAAAAATGTGCTGAAAATCGGGCACTTTACAATAAAATCGTAAAACTTGGCTGGCCTGGATTAGTATGACCAGTATTGGACTTTATTTAAAACGGGTTCAAAGTTTGCCAATTTACAGCGCTGCTGGCGCTGCTAAGCAGTCAACTCTTGTAGTCTCGCCCCATCAGATGGTGTGGCCACACGAAAATGGTGACGCGACCTTCAGTTAGCATTTCGTCTGCTTGGCGCGCATGTGTCTTTGAATCAAATGAATGCCACATTTCGAGTTTGAAAATCTGTATCACTGCTCCTTTTAGGACATGATTCACCGTTTCCTCACCTAGCCCCCATATGAGTCTTTCTCTTCTGTACTGAATCTCATTTTACCATGCATGCTCCGACCATCCTCCGACAAGAAAATTAAAGATAGTCCTGCTGAGACCAGAGCCCAAAAGACCAGAAACAAAAGTTGTTTAAGGCTAGGAAACCGGTCGTATGCCACTGTTGCCAAGAGCCTGGTCGCATTGCGATCCATTGGCGAAAGCCTAGGAGTGTTCTCTTTTCGACGGACAGCAATCAGGAGCAAATAAAACCCCACATTCAGGAGTCAGTTCTGGAGAAAGCATTGTGTAATGTACCGTGGGAGTCAGCCACAACGTTTGATAATGTAGATCCCTACTTCTGGGAAAATGAGGTAACCATAGGGTAACACGTGTGCGCACGGCAAATAGTTGAAAATAAAAGTGTTTGTTTGCCGTTAGCCCGCGTTGAGAAAGAGGGACCACTCAGACTGCTCACCATGGAAACTGTGGTGTCCCAAAACCTGCCCAAGCATTATCCCTCTCAGAATGACGCGGATATGCTTTTGAAAGGCCTTTGTTTTGGTGACAAATTGGCGACAGCTCTGACTAACCTGTGAGTCTGCTCAAGAAATTTCGGCAGC